ATAAGCAAGTTACTTCTATAAAGTACAGGTTCGGATTACATTAAGAGTTTCGTATTACGGACAATCGTTATATAATTTGTCATTTGAGAAGACCTCTGACCATCTCCTTGTCCGCTGAAAAAGTTCATAAGCGTCTCCTAAAGAAGAAGTCTCATTTTTCCACTCTAGAAAAGAACGTTCTCTCGACAAGAAATATCTCGAGTTCCGTGCCCCTCCTCTTCAAAGTTGGAATTCCCGGAAGAACAATGCTGATTCCAAAGAAAAACTGAGAAAAAGTATCAGCGCTATAATATAGAGCAAGGGAGAATCCACAATTTTGACGTTATATGAGCTAAAGCTTTATGATGCATAATCAAATTACGTGTACTCCCGCAAGGGAGAACTTACAATCTTGACGATAATATGCGCGAATGCTTTACTGTATGATGAAAAATCAAAGTACGTGAAACACCAAACGAATCTTTTTCTTGTACGAAAAAGTAGTAGTAATTTTTTTGGTTTTGGCGGAAACAGCTCACATTTTTCGCTACGAGATGAAAAGGCACGAAAAACATTGATTTTATTTACTGTAGTACGGTAGGTCCATCGAAGATCGTAATGGCGATGGAGAGGAATTAGGAGCAACTACCAAGAAGATCTCACGCGAGTTACCGAACAATAAGGAGAAGGTTGGATAGATGATTTGGTCGTTTAAAGTTTTGCTTTGCACCACGACCAATTACAAAAATACGAGTACTGCATGATGTACCAGTTACAACCGGGTTTTCTTTGTCGACTTGTTGTGTTTCCCTCCCTTCTTAATAATGCCACAGCTCGCACGGCTTCCATCCTCGTTGTGGACAATGAATGCATGTCCCTCCAACAAATCTGGGTTTGTTGCCACATCAAATCCCGTATAGACACAAGACGCAAAATCTGCAGTCCCTGCCGCACTTGTAATTTCGTATCCGGTAATAGCCCAAGGGTCAACACTCAAGACATCCTTGTTGTACCAGTGCCCACCTGAGGTTAGACAATAATATCAAGAATGAAAACAAGTTGTGGTGAGTGTTATGCCATTAATATTATTTTATCATTCGTCGTCAAATCCAATTCGTCTCCTCTCTCGCAAATAGCTCTGTAAAACGCGTGCTGCCAAAAATGGGTATCACGGAATTCACGAACCTTGAGTTTCAGTATTCTTGCAACTAAGCCCAGAATGAACATGGACGCCACATCCATTTTTTGCTTGGCAGTTGGTACCTCCAGCGCCATAAAACGACTTGATGTCGGGCTGCAGTCCGGTGCCACTTCCAACGAAGCAGACCACGTCATTGGGTCCCTTGTTTCCCTTGAACTTGGGAACAAAGACAGTTGTTTCGGAAGTGATGGTATTTTCCCCCAGCGGAGTTGTCGTCACCTTGAAATTGATGGTATTCATTGTTTCTTCGTACTTTCTGCTGTTATTATAATGCGTTGATTTTTCGTTTTATGACGATATCACGAGTCGGCGTTTTATGGACGCCCATACACGCGTTCTCCTACGGAATAAAGCATCAGTTGTACAGTTCGGTACCTCTGTACAGGACACCAGTACTTTAACTAGTATCTATCTAATCTGTTACTATTTGTTTTATCCCATGTGCTACGGTACCATCGGAGAAATAAAATACAAAAAATCTGGTTGCGAAAACCCAGTAGAGCACGTGTCGGAAAATTTTACGAAGTAGTACTTACTGTAGGATACTGTAAAAAAAAATATGTTTAGGAGTGCTCTCGATCTTTTTTTGGCTTCAGAAGGTACCGTAGGTAGGTTCAACGGACACATAAACTATGTGCGCTGCGCGTACAAGTTAATTCGCAATAAAATTACCCCTAAAATTAACGATTTTTGACCCCTCACCACCTGTAACTTTCRCAGACTAGTCCTTAGCCTACATGGAATCCTTAAGCATCCCAATGACCTAGATCTTTAAGTAATTGTATCATCTTGTTCTGGGCGCTTAGTCCGGTGGTCTAAAGTTGTTTTTTGATAGAGCTCTGGCCTATTTTCTAACCAGTAGCCGGTCTCCAATGGCCAAATTTGGCCATACCAGCTGTTAATGGAGAACCGGCTCCCCCAAGGCCTTTAACCGTGTAACAATGACACACAGCACTCTTCTTAACACTATRACCGRGCATATCCCCAAAGGGGATCTCATTTGAGCCGGTTCTTGAGCACTTTTAATGGCATCATAAACACTCTTTGTGGCCAAAAAGTGACCAAAAACGTGTAGATCTATGTAGGATCAGTACTAAATACTGGGCTTCAAAATTAACAAAATTCACAGTGATGATTACTAGTAATAATTTTTGGTGTAAATCAGTTTGAGTAAAATTACTTTTTTCCTGTAGTGCGCGGTAGGCTTTTTACGGTTAACGCATTTTATATCGAATTAACTGGTACCAAGTACCTGGTACGAACTAGTACTTCTAGGTTGTGGTTCTATCACGTTCAATTTATCAGATTGTGGGTCATAATTTTGTAAGCCATTTTTGTGTCAGAACAAGCTTTGTTTGCCTGTTACTGCTACCAAAGGACTAATAAGAATAAGACAATCTGTCAGTCAGAAAGGGTTTTCTTTCCTCTTTCCATACATGTGCATATTGTTGGGGGGTTTTGCCAAAGAATCTTTTTCGGCTTGTTGATTACTCTGCATGCTGAAAATTGTTAGAAAAACTCATTAAAACAACCTCCAGGATAGAGACCTGTCACACCTTGGCAAGGCCCTCAAGCTCCACAACCCATGTGAAGTGCATGTAAAGTGTATCAATTATTATAAGGGGAGGAATGGGATCCCAAATTTGCAGATTAATTGACCAAGTGCTTTACATGAAACAATAGATTTAACAAGCAGCAGGAACAAAAAAGAATGGAAAGTATGTCCACAGCATCCTTGGTCAGTAACATCTACATCCAGCAACAACTGCATCCTGCAGTGTCCACCATATCCAGTGTCCACATCCAGCATCTGTATTCACCAGCTCCTCATCCAGCAACGACATCCAGCAGTGTTGTCTGTATCCACCAGTAGCCTCTGCATATCATCTTAGCAATGTCCTCCATACTTGTACATGCAATGCAGTGACAACTGCATCCAATACTAGTGTCCATATTGTCTGTATTCAGTTTCTGTATTCAGCTCCAGGAGCATCCAGCATCCTATCCAGCAGTGTCTGTGTCCAGTGTCCACATTCACCAGCATCTGCATCCATATTGTCCGTATCACCAACTCCTATTAGCAACGCTTTCTCCGTGTAGCATTAAAAAAATGTAAGCACCAAAGACCAAGAAGCCCAAGAACAAAGCAAGATGACACACCAAGAGCAAGTCATCCAAAGGCTTCCAGGAAGGCAGGGAGGGGGATCTTGACCCTGCAGTTCMAACCAACCAAGTTTCCCTCAGAACTAACAAATTAGGTCCATGATGATAAAATAGGTCAGCAAGGAGGAGAAGCAAATGATTTTCAGTTCTCAAGTGAAACTTACTCCATTCTGGACAAAGAACTAAGCCATCTAAAACTAGATAACACCACATAAAATTTTCAAATTCTTTGCAAAGAAAGTATCATACCATTGGCCAACCACCAGTTCTAGTTGTGTCAATTGTATATTTTTACTTCAGATGTTCAGCCCTGAATACATTTTGATAATCAATAACCCCTATAACCCCCACACAGCAACCACCATCAATGGTGTGCTTATCTCTCTTAAAGGCCAGATGGCAACAAAGTTAGAGGTCAAAATGTCAGTTCATGGTTAAATTTACAGTGTTTTGATTTTGGGCTATCTTTTTATCCTGTAACAACTAGTTAGACCTGATGCATTTCAGTACCTCGACTGCTATTTTTAGCTTGCAAAATTAGGCCACTAATTGTGTGAACTCAAAATTTGGCAATGGACCTCCTTGGTTCATTTGTTCTATTTCTGGTTATCAGAAGGAACAGTGATGGATCTACTCCTGCTGGTACTCAGAACACAATGCCTTGATCACATTTTCTTCTCTTTAAAATTGATCAAGAACAACAATACATCCTCCTCCTGTGAGGGAGACAACCCCAGCTAAAAATGGAGGATAGTACTTAAAGCAAGCAGCAGCAAAACAAGCAAACTGAGCAACTCTCCCTGGTGAAGAACCACACAAATATGTATACCATTGATACTCCAATGATAGCTCTCCAGACTCAATTACCCCACTGCATGGGGAGTACTATTCAGTTATCCCCACCCCAAGCAGAGGGCAAAGCTAAACAGGGGGAAGCCAAAGATCAAGAAGGCAAGGCACAAAGCAAAGCTCCTTGTTTACAAAGGACCCAAGTCATCTGCCCACAAGCACTGGCTGCCAAAGTAGAAAACCTGCAATTGTACAGGGCAACATGTACATAAAATGGTACAAAGCATCAAAGGGAAGGAATCAGCAAAGTTCATCAAGGGCATTGATCCTGGATATGGATGGAAGATTCAAATAATTATGGATAGGTCTGTGCTGACCCCACAGCTCCTGAGCCCCCTGGGATAGTCAAAGTTCCCTCACCACAGATCCAATTTGTATTGCATCAAGACTGGAACTGGGTGGAGGAATKGGAGTGCAGTAGGAAGCCAACTCCACACAGCAACGAGCTGAATGAGCTCTGTACTGGTTGTCTAGCCAATACATCAGTGCCTCTCATCTCTAGTCTCTCATCCACAATATCTGTGTTTCCATACTCTAGGCCTGATCCTATCAACATCAGACATGAGAACAGTCTGCCCTCCCCTCATAATCTTTCATTTGGGATAGTTCACAAGAGGACCACCAAAGCTTTGATAAGGCCAACTGGTCTCATTGATACACAGGTCTAAGCCAGCCCAGTCTGTGAAATAGTTCCTTGTGTTATTGACAATAGCCTCAAAGTTGTAGTCAAACTTGTAGGCCACTTTGCCACCATCAGAGGATCCACAAAAGGGCCTTTCCTAATCAGTTTTGCAAACATAAAAGTTCCTTTAATGTCATGCCACCTGCTGCAAGTCATGGTGATTGCAATGTCCTGTCAAATGAAAGGTGCTTAGAATCCCATCTAAGCTTGATGTTTTCACTTGCTCATTCACAAGCACCACCATGCAAAAAAAAAGGATGCTGTCAAATTGAACTGCTTCACAAAGTAAAACTGACCTGATTTGAAGCCCTTCCCCTTCATTGTCATCAGAGATGTAAACATCAGTATATTTCATCACCTTGTTGTGACAAGTAGTCTTCTTCTCTGGTTCAATTTGATAGCACTGAGCTTCCCTTGAATCTGGAGCAATTGAAAGCAGCAACTGATAGAAAAGAAGGCATCTTTGTTTTCAGTGCAATCTTTTGTGAGCCCATATTGCTGTAACTTGAAAATATTGGTGAGCTTCCCCTTCCTCTTGTCTGGAACGATGTTATCCCTAGTAGTAGCCCATACTTCCTTGCAAAGTGATTGCTAGGATCATAACTAACTGTATCATCCCATCCAATATAATGGAACTTCCATCCATTCTGCTCCCTGATTGGTTCGTTGCCAAGACCAGTTACAAACCGTTTAGGAATTTCCACAGGCTTGCACTCAGAGGGAAGAAAGTGAGCTTTGTACTTTCCTTTTTCTGGTTCAAACTTGGGTCTATAGTAATAGGGATGCCACCCACCTGAATTACCAACATCATCCCAATCTTCAGGTTCTCGTCCTTTGTCAATCTTGGGATCCTTCCTTTCATAGCCTCCTACTGGGACCTTGGAAAAGTTGAGAATACTATCAGCAATAGTCCCATTCTTCCAATAAAAGAACTCAGTATCATGAGGCTCAACAGCATTATCCCAGTTCCAAATTGTCTGGCTCTGTGTAATTACATTGAATGTCTCAGCTTGGTCAGCCTCCTAGTTGTGACTCAATCCAGAATCATCTGAATCATGAGATGGCGAGTGCTGGGTGTCCTTGACCTCCTCATTACTTGAGCTTTCATCCTCAACAAAGTTTCCACCTCTGATTCTAACTCAAAGAAGGCTCCTTCAAATGCTGCTGATTAGGAGTCTACAGAGGCCCTTGGCGTTGTTATTTTTGAGGAAGGTTGGTTGGTTATGTTGGTGAGTGACATTGGTGTGTTGCTGATAATATTGCTGAGTGTCCTTGACAGCTAGTGTTGCTGAGTGTCCCAGCTAGTGGCGTCATTGTCAATTTACTGTCATTGTTGTCCTTGATTGGCAGCATTGATGGTGTTGATAGCAGATTAGTTTTGTTGCTGATTAGCATTGTGGATGGGATTGTTGTTGGGGACACACCGTTGCAGATTACTAGTGTTACTGATTAGTGTTTGTTGGGAGTGTTGCTGATAGTGTCCCTGATAGTGCTGCTGAGTGCTGTCATTGCCAATTTGTTGTTGTTGTTGCCCTCAATAGCCAGTGCCAATGGCATCAATAGCTGATTAGTGTTGCAGATATTGCTGATTTGTGCTGCTGATTAGTGTTTGGGAGTGTTGCT